CCTTTTTTTCCCAGTGAAAAAGAATCAAGCAAGTATTTGTAAACCACACATCCTTTCCACCGCCCAATCCTTCTCATAATTTGATTTCGGAACACCATTGTCTGTACAATAATCAAAGAGTCAGGCTCTTCATTTTGCCTGAAAGGAGCGTGGGTTCGGTGTTCGTTCCGGCGTGGGAGTCACCGCCGCATGCAGAAGACGTGAGTTTAATTCCCATGTGGGAAGAATCTTTATCAAGACGTATTTTATCGGGTCTTTCTCCTTGGACATTGTATCCCTCTCAACCCAGCCTATAGGATGGCCCTGGCATTTAAGATTGAAGCAGCCAACCTTCCATGCGATCAAAATTGTGTCAGAAGGGGCATGCAATATCTGCAAACTACAATTACAATGACTCTTCACAAGGATAAGACGATAATTCATGGAGTACACCTCCAAAATGTCAGAGGGGGCGTACAATACCTTACAACTACAATTACAATCGTTTTTCACATGGATAAGAAGATAATTCATGGAGTATCTCTGTCCTTCTGTCGAGATAGGTCCCACGTACACACTCTGGGTTGATCCTGAGAGGCAAGGTCACGCAGTTCACCTTTTATATTATTATCTTAATTGGGTAGTCTTAATTGGGTAGATGGTATTGTATGGGATTTATGTGAATTAAACACTCTACGTTACGTTCCTCCACATTTAACGTCCAACTCCGAAAGGACTGAACGATGTCGCTTGAGAGGGAGGAGCAAGAGGAGAAGCAGAAGCAGAAGGGGGAGGGGGGGAATAAGATATGTAGAACTGCTCTACTTTGAAAATGTCTTGTATTATGCACAGCACGTATTTCAGTTTTGCCAACCAAAATCAACAGAATGTAAAATGTACAAAAATGTATTTAAAAATCATAAACTCTTGAAATCAATGTCCTCACTTTTTGTGTTTTATGCTTTTAATCTCAAACAACAGTATTGGCATCTGTATAGTATGTGTCACAACGTGGTGGAATCGGGCACTCGTCAATTTTTTCACATATATGGTTATAGGTATCATCTTAAAACTGGTTCATTTGCCTTCCTTCTGGTGAAAAAAATGTCCATTTACGTTGAACAGAAGTTGAAATATTTGCAAATGAAGTGAGTAAACCTATCCACCACAGTATACAGACCCCGCGACCTGCCTCTGACAAAGTACATTCCACATTAACCCATCTTTAGCCAACGCCCCCAAGCCCCCCCCCCCCCCCCCCCTGGGTTCTCAGAGGTGAAATTAGCTAGAAAATGGCTGCCAAAGTTTCGAAACTTCCTTAGCCAGAGAATTTTTTTTCAGTAAAATCCACACAAAAATAAGTTTTTCACTGGACATAAAAGGCCTTGAGCAAAAAAAAGGAAATTAGAAAAAAATTGGATTTCTGCCCCCAAAAAGCCGATTTCTTTGATTTCATTATTTTGACGAGCACCTGATTTCACCACGCTGCCTCAAATATATACCTACACATTGTTGCTCATTGCGTCCAAAAGAAAACGTTAAACAATACAATATTACTCTCATCTTGCAGGAACAGCGCAAGAAATGAAGGCGAAGTCATAATAAGTACAAAAAGCCATAAAATAAATATATAACCACAGGAACAGAGTGAACTTCAGAGGAGGGTCTCTTAGAGAAGGACAAGGGATTCACGGAGGGCGGGAGGGGGGGCTCTTGTGGCCTAGAGGTTAAGGTGTTGGCCTCTCATTCACAGGTCCCGGGTTCGAATCCAAGTAGCGACCGAAAAATTTTCTTCTCTAAAATTGTCTCCTTTAACCTCATTTCCTGCTCTCCAACACTGTTCTGTCGTCTGATTTCGTCTCCTCTTTCTGTCCCCACCCCCTCATCTCCTTTGCCTCCTCCTCTGGGCTCCTGACTCTTTCTGCAGCCTTTCTACTGCTACTCCTAGGCTTCTTCTTACTTCTGTCTTTCAGCCACACCCCTGATCTTCTGGTAGGAAAGATCTACACCTAGCCTTCTCGGACAACGGCGAAAAATCTCTGAGGCCCGTGTGCAAGATGCGCGCGTTTAAGATCCCTTGGTGGTCTAAAATCAATAAGAGTAGGCTTCGGCGGCACCCGGCAAAATTCAGAATTTCCTACCAACGGAAAAAGTTAAATGTGTCCTGTACGTTCATATGACCGTATGCAGTTGTGAGCGCCGTGGGTAAAACACTTACCAAACAAAACAACAACAAAAACTGATGGCGGGAGGGTTGAAAAGGGGGGGAGGGAGGGGGATGTTGATCACCCTTGATTCAGTGTTCTCTTTTTCCAGACCTGATAAATGAAAATCCCTTTTCCCCTCAAAGTTTCAGGAGTTTTTAAAAATGCTACGATAACTGCATATTGAATTATTTCTTTTTTTTCCATTAGGTGTGATACTGAATAGACACCACACCCCACACTGGATATGGGTTGCTAAGATATGATAAGTTTTATCTGAAGAAGAAAATTTTTTTGATTGCAGCCTGTCTGCTTGCTGGTCGTCTTAACTTGGCCATTCATGAGCCAGCAATGTTTTCATTTGTTTGGATTTCCCATGAATATTTTGTGAAGCCATTCAGAAAAGTCAGTCTAAAATGCTGCCCCAAGCTATCCTAGATCAATATTACAAAGGGTGCAGTGAGTTTCCAATGTAACTAAATATACACCCAGTTTTAGATCTTAAGACAAGCCTATGATTTCATGATCATGAAGTAGGGAAAATCTTTCTGAAGTTGAGAATAAATACTTTGAATTTCGACATTCAAATATTAGCAAAAGAAATCACCACACAGTATTGCAATGAATAAATTTTTACAGAGCTACAAAAGACAGCATATCTTCATTCCATATTAGTAAACATATTCAAAACTGCTGTAGCACTTACCAGGAATATTACCTTTGCTTTTCGTCTACAAATTTGAAACGCCTCCTGCAGTAGGTTCTTATAATTAAATTAATTTGAAAATCTAATATAGCAGAACAACTAAAATGAATCAATCTATAATCCGTCAGTTTGAGCCAGGTTTTTTTTCCTGCTTGTATTATGGATTCTACTTTAGTGTAACGCATTGCACTGTTTTACTTAATAAGAGAAGAAAAAATCACTGACAAATATTGACAACTTCATCATACTATTCCTAGTAGTAAACAACATTACATAACATCCGTACCTTTTGAATAACTAATGGAATTTAATTATTACTGAATTACTTGTTCTACAGGACAGTATAGTTTGTGTCAAGGAGTTGAAGTTCAAGGTCTTTGGCAAACTCAAAGAGTACTGGTATGAGCTTTAACTCTTTATCTGCTTGGGGTTTTGAACAGATATTGTTGGGGTTTTTCCCTTTGATTAAATTCTGATCAAGGGTGTTTCATTAAAAAATCAGTATTTAGATCAAATACGCTGAAATATAGTTGTAGCATATACCAAAATGTCCAGAAATTAATGAACTTTTATAAAATGTGCATTTTGTTGTAAAATTTATATATATTTTTATGTTACCCAATCATAAACACGCCCATAATTTTTTTTCTTCACACAAAAGTTGAGGAAACATAAAATCATGACTTCCCATTAGAAAGCTTCGAATTCACGTTTTATCGCATCCATGAATGCAATCTTGCAGTGAGCGGCTCCCAGCAGATAAAGAGTTAAAAATATGGGTACATTGTAAAACCAAAGAAAACATTTTACAAAATAAATTATAATTTTAAAAAATATGTTATAATTATTATAATCATTTACATGAAATTGTATTTACAAACATCATCCAAGTCATGTGGTGGTTGATAGTTTACAATAAGTTTGAAAATATGAATAGCAACTTTTGGACAGTATAAATATTTTATTTGGATTTAAAGTGACTAATTTTGTGTTGTTTCAACGCAACAAACAATACAAAGGATGAAACAACAATGTTGTGGTGTTATTTGTGTAAAGGAAAGAAAAAGTCAACAAATCATGGCTGAGGCTGACAAAAATGAGTAATTTTTAAAAAACAATTCATATTGCATCTTTGAATCAAGGACCATTGCTTGTAGTAGGGACTGTTCAACAACTGAAATACCCATGAAAATTTTCTATGAATGAATTCACTGAAAGAAGGGAACTTTATACTGCAAAAAAACATATGTTTAACGCAGAAGGATATATTCACTGTAAAGACTATATGAAATACTCATAAGTAATAAAACCAAAAGCGCTCCGTACTGCAATTCAAAACAAACCATGGAGAGGCACACAAGGTTAGAATGGACGGGGGTCACCTGAGGGTTAATTTTTTTAATCATGGACGGATTCTGTTCAAACTTTACATACAAACTAAACCTGATGAGGCCAGGACAAGTGAGATTTTCTTAAAGCTCACAAACTACAATAAAGAATTCTCACACAGCAATCATGCAGCTTGCTGTTTTGGATGAAGAAACTTAAACTCTCTAACACAAAAAAAAACAAAATTTCAATTGTTTTATATCAAAAATATTTTTTTCTGGTCGTTTACAATAGGGTTAAGGAGAAAACCCATTTTCTTAATAAATTCCAAACTTTAACTCTCACACCATTCTGTGATGAAGTATACACAAGGTTGTTCTATAACATTTTTTTGCACTTATAATCGGCAAGTAGGAACATTAAGTTGACCAGTGCACAAGCAGTACAAAAAAGAGGCCCTGAAAAATCTGTACCGCCAATTTTATGCCAAAAAATAATCTGAAATTATGCAAACTGAGCCCAAAACTGTGAAATTATGCGATTCTGTTAATTTTAACAAAGAATGATAAAGGAAAGTAATCAGAAATTATGCCAAAAAATGATCACATTTTGCTAAATTATGCGGGGTGCATAAAACCCCAGGGACAGGAAAATAGACAGCAGATTGATTAACAACATTGTCAGTTCCATGTCCTGAAAAGGGAAAAGAGAAGTTTTCAGAAAGGAAACTTTTAAAAAAACCAGCTGAGGAAACAGTCTCTACAGAATACCATCAGTTTAAACAATTAAAAAAGACAGGCCTGTCTGGTTCATTGAATGTGATGGATTAATAAACAAAAACAAAACCCAACATTTCCCATAAAATAGGTTAATCCTAATATGCATATTATCACAGAGTAATGAAACAGATGCACTCATGCAACTTCTGTGTGAGCGCTTCACTTCTTTCTGGAGCGAGTATGAGCGGCTGCCACCTCTGCCTCAGACATTCCTAACAGCTGTCTCAGTCTCAAGATTTCTTGCTTGTACCTACATAGAGAAAAGATAAAAGAAAAAAAATCAATACAGTTAGTAGAAAGCCACACAAACTTTGTAAGACCTTGAAAAAGACAGTAATTACTTCGACCCATAAATTGAATATACATAATGATGAGCCAGTAAATTGTCTTAACAAGTGCCCAACAGATCTTGCATTTCTTGTTGAACTTCAACCAGATTGTCTATGAACCTATAACACACCAACATATTTTTTCGATAAACTCAGCCCCTCTCAAGAGGCTAGATTTGGGTATTCATATGACCTTAGAGCATGCATCAGAATAACATTGTGTATGCATCTAGCTTAAGATTATTATTGTTTATATTACTGTTCATTTATACTATGCATGTGACTGTAAGCCTGCATGTGTGTGCAAGTTTGTGTGTGTGTGTGTGTGTGTGTGTGTGTGTGTGTGTGTGTGTGTGTGTGTGTGTGTATGTGGTGAAACACCAAACCCATGTGCCAGGATCTGAGCAATAAAGATGTATCTTATCTCTTATCTTATCCCTATCTCCCCTTTTGGTCAAAACTGACTTATCTTTACCACGGAGCAAATATCTGTCCCGTCTCATTCTCAGATACAGGTCTGACTTCCGAGCGGTCATTTGGATGGTTATTTATGCAGGTGGAACCAAAACTTAATTCTTCATTCAAATTTTTATGTGAACAGAAGACACTTTTTCCTTTCCAAACTGCTCAAAGTAGAGTGAAGCCACTCTCATTCTAGAGAGTTAACCCTTTCAGCCCTTCGGTGGCGCGCAAAAATAAATGTATGCCTCTCTCTCTCTTGCCCCTTTAAACTCCTACTGGAGCACTGGCCATCAACAACATTTCTCCAGCAAAGCCTGTCCTGTGCATCCTTTTCTAGCTGTTTCCATGATGTCCCCGCCTTTTCCACTTCCGTATGTATAGCTTGCCTGAATTTCATCTTGGGTCTTCCTTTCTCACGTTTTCCTTGTGGATTCCACGTCAACGCTTGTCTGATGATGCTTGTCGGGGGTCTCCTCAGGGTGTGCCCAATCCATTTCCATTTCTTCACCTGGATGTCTTCCTTTACTGGCCTTTGGCTTGTTCTTGCCCACAATTGAGCATTAGTTACTCGACCTTACCACTTGATCCCCACTATCCTTCTTAGACATCCATTTATGAAGCTCTGCAGTTTCCTTGCTGCTGATGCTGTGAGCCTCCATGTCTCTGAACCATACAGTAGATCAGTCTTCACGTTTGTTTTGAAGATCCTCAGCTTGGTGTTCAATCCCAGTTCTTTAGACATCCATATATTCCTGAGGATGATGAATGCTGCTCTCACGTATGCCTAGCCACCATTATAGTGGTGAGCAAGACGCCATCCCCAACCCGGCCCGCCTAAGACAAAACGCGTACTGAAAACCGCATTTACTACACAAGACTGTATTGAATATTTTGAAAATCTCTCTGAATTAGATGCTGGTAATGACAAAGACAACCCTGAGTGGGATATGGAACGCGATTCTGGTAACCAAATAAATGTTAATAATATATAGGTCAGAAGCTCAGGCAGAGGGGCACGGTAGCCTCAGGAGGTCAGGTCAATTTTTGTCGGCCAATTCGCTACTCTAAGGTATCGAATAAACGAGGTGGTTGGAATAAAAGGGGGGGGGGGGGCACATTCAGCCTCATACCCCTGTACTACTAGTAGTAGGAACAAATCTGTTTTATTTCTCCTTCAGTGAATAAAAGAACAAGAGATTATGAAATTTAAGTGATTTTAGTAAGTTCCTGTGACAACTTTTCCCATTTAAGAACAAACCAGTTTCATTAAAAAATATAAACCAATGTACAAAAGTTTTTGAAATGCACAGAAAATTGGGGTAGCCAACCGGGTACCGGTTCTAATACCGAGGGTAATTTGCCATTTACAAAAAAAGAAATTTCATGCAGATATCTAGATATAATGTTTTACATAATCTTCGGTCGTGGCAAGCTGGAAAATAATAAAACGGGGTGTATGGAATAAGGAGCACGGGGTGTGAAAAAAAAAATCTGAAAATTAATGAGGGGGGGGCTTACTCGATACCTTTGAGTGCTGCATAAAGCTTTAGTTATATCCCTCTCACCTGACAAGATGGCAGTCAATGTAATCCTGACTCTCCTTAAGCTGCTGCTGCAACACCTGGTTCTCGCTCAGCAGACGAGCCCGCTCCTGTTCTAGCTGTTGCTGTGTGTTCAGCGTGAACTCTCTCAGCTGTTTCCTCAACGCTCCCCATAGGTCGGAGCGAGCCGACACCGTGCTGTGTTGGAAGGGAAGGTAAGTGACTGTCAGTCACAGTGACATAAGCATCAACCTGCGTTTTCATGCAGAGCCACCCAGAGCAGCTCTTATCTATCGCCCCCTTTCTTCACATCTCTTTCCTCTCTTCTTTATTCTTTTCCACTTACATTTCAACCCTTTTTTCTGATGTCACTGTATAGCATTTTTTATTCTGAACATTTCTAAAAGCTACACATCGGATTATTATCATATTTAGATGTTTCTCTATATATTAACTTTTAGTGAGACCACCCATGAGGTCACGTAGTGGTAAAAAATTATTCGCACCCTGAGTCAAAATTGTCTGCAGGCTGAATCAGTTAAACAATGACACTCTTCAAAAGTGGCACGTAGATGTCTGAAACACAAGGGGCGCTACACTTTGGTCAGAAAAACTAATGCACGTGTAACAATAAATATAGCCTTTCTATTGGTTGCCCACCACAAATCTCTAATGAAAAAATGCAAATGGTTTCACACTAATAAAAGTACATAGAATTATCGTGACTTCTGATTTTGTCATTTCATTGATCATGCCGTTGTTTTCTATTTTCTGCAAATTTACAAGAAATCATACCCAGCTGAATAATCATGGGAATAGTAAAACATGTCCATAGGACATACACAGGGGAATAAACAGACAAAAACCCATGTTACTCACGTCAAATCTGCAAAATTTTCCTTCCCATCACCTCCAAATAGGCCATACTGAAATAAAAGCACATTTCAGAAGTTTTAAAAAATGACAAAAATAGATCATTTTCCTGACTGCGGTTTCTTAATTTCTGCTGCCGCAGCACTGACATTCCACAGGTACATTACAAATGTTGAAAGAACATCCAATTAACGGGACTTTTCTTTTCATTGACACTTTGTGTGTCACTTACAGACACCTTCTCCATTTGAAACCACTCAGTCTCACAGGGTTCTCATTTAAGTGATATATTGGAAAAAGGCCACACCTGTCTGATGTCATCATATGAAAAATGAATAGGTAAAAACCTAAGCAGTGCGCACTCTGAATAAAGCACCTCCTGGGAGATAACACAATGTGATTAGGTGTCAAATTTCCTCTGTGAATTTTTAAACGTGCTGTAAAGGTTTCTTTAGTTTTTGAAAAATTCCACCATGGCTTCAGCGTTCTAAACTGGAGCTGTACTTGAGAGTTTTTCACTATATCGGCCCTTGGTACCGTAAGTGTTAAACAGTGTACCCGATACAGGCTTACCTCATCACTGCACTTTCAGCTATTAAATCTTAAACATTTTTTCTCATTTCTTACCCGCAGTTTGACGGCATCCAATTCGTTCTTGACTTTGCCCAATTCTCCTTTGGTCCTGTCCAATTCTTTCAAGTGAGAAGATTGCACTTCGGAATCTCCAAGCCTTAACTCATCCTCGCCCGGACCGAGATCTACTCTATCAAAGCCACGAGCCTCACACGTCTGACGAAGGTTCCTACAGAAAAAGGGAGAGGGATATCAAGTAAAAATAAAAGATTAAGATTAAAGCATCAAGGCATAAAATATCTTATTTGTGACAAGGCTATTCTTCTTTTTTCGCCTTTGAGTACTGACTATTTAATACTAAGATGGTCAAAATGGATTCCAATTGTGAAAAAGTATTCCTGTAAAGAGTTTAAGTAAGTACAGATAAAACATGATAAAGCAAAAGTGGCACAATGTGCGTATGTGTGTGTGTGTGTGTGTGTGTGTGTGTGTGTGTGTGTGTGTGTGTGTGTTTTGTGAAAGAGAGAGAGATAGAGAGAGAGAGATAGAGAGAGAGAAAGAGAGAGAGAGAGAGAGAGATAGAGAGAGAGAAAGAGAGAGAGAGAGAGAGAGAGAGAGAGAGAGAGAGAGAGAGAGAGAGAGAGAGAGAGAGAGAGAGAGAGAGAGAATAGGGTACAACACTGTTCAGAATCACTTTTTTGAGGGGGGGGATATTTCTGGAGGACATCTAATCTAAAAGCTTTGCCCATGAGAGCTTTCGGATAGCATATTTATGACACAATTGTCCACAGCGGTATGTTTATGTATTATATTCACTAAACATCTTATGACCTTAACCCAGGAAGTGCGTAGGCCTTATATAAAGGGCATAGAAGCTGACCTTTTTCAACAGAAAGTTTAAGTATTCCTTATTTGGAAAATGATGTAGTAAATTACAGGTCAAAGTTATAAATAGTGACCAATAACTTTGCTAGTTATCTTGACCTCGTAGAGCGTCTTTTGGCCAAGATATCAATAGATAAAGTGACGCAGTCTAGCTGAGCGACTACACGCCATGTGTTATCACTTGTTCCGCTGTGCTAATGTACTAATTGTTGACGTCATCATGTTTTGCATTTTGTTTGCATTTATTTGAATTCTTATCTTTTTTGAATGGCTCATTCTATCAGCTTTAAGAAAAGATATGGTTTTATATGCCTTTTATCATCTGCTGAGCCGTAAATGGTCAGTTTTCCGTAACAGGTCTCCATCTCGAGTATCTCAGCGGATATCCCCCCGCCAAACCCCCATGTTTACAACCGATCGGCCGTGGTGGCAGGGCATTTTGGGCAGGTTACTTCCGGTGAAACGCTGAGCGCTTCTAGGGTTAAGATTCCATTGATCATACGTTATTGAACAATTTTTCAGTGTGTGAGGTAGAGGTTACTAAAGCTCTCAATAGGTTCTAAGTATAAGTTACAGACAGTTCCACAGACAACATAGCATGATAAAAACACAAAGCTCCGTGTGACCTGTATGCAATCAGGACTTGTTCGTAGCTATGTGTTGTGGTCTGCAATCTCTTTCTGTAAGCTTGAGCGGCATGGCTGAGCTGGTCCTCTCGCTCGCGGTGTGACCTGCGGATGTCCTTCAGCATAGAGTCCACGTAGTCTCTCATTCTCTTCTCCTGGTGGTGTCCTGGAACCCCACTACCTTTGTCCACGTATTCCTGGAGATCAAAGCAAAAGTATACAAAAGAGTCATTTGTTTGATGAGTGTGCTTCTTAGAGTGGCAGATGAGCACAGAGGAAGTGGGGGAGGGGTGATGTTGGGGGGGGGGGGGGGGTTGGTGGGTTTTGAGAGAGAGAGAGAGAGAGAGGGGGAGGGGGAGTGGTGGTGTTAGAGGGAGAGAGAGGGGCAGAGGGGGGGGGGGGTTGTTATGGGAGGGGGGGTTAGGGGGTAGGTTGAATACATTATACAATACTACATCATAACAGTTTGGGAATGGGTTTTTTTTACATTCAAAGTGGGTTTGTTTTTTTTTATGATAAAAATGTAAAATGCATCATTAACTTACTGGTGCGCATTTCACTCCTCAATCTCAACAACGTAAAGAGTTACGCGATTTCACAAAAATATTAAGAAAAACATTGTAAGTCTGTCTACAAATGACTGTCTATGTTAAGAAGGTCTCTAACTATACTTACAGCAATGTCCTCCACATATTTCACCAGCCTTGCCCTGAAATCTTCACCTAAATCTTTAACTTTATGTTGCAAACGGTTAGTTTGTGTTTCAAGTGCCTCCTTTTCTCCACGCAAAGTGATAAGTTTCTGAAACACAAAGAAACAAATAATATAAACATTGGGGTGCTACAAACCTGAATGCCCATATAACACTGATTGTTCATTTGCCTTCCTTTTGATTAAAAAAACAACAATCTGTCATGAATAGAAGTCGAGATATTTGCGACTGAGTGAGGTGAGGGTTTGCATGGTTTCAGAGGTAAAATTAGCAATAAAATGGCCGACAACGTTTATTAGCTTCCATTGCTTGAGAGTCTTGGGAAACTAATAATTTACATTTTTTGTGCCTTTAATGAACATTGTTCAGTAAAAATCCACACGGAAATGAGTTTTTAAATGGACATATATAAAGTGTTGAGCCAAAACAACAAAACATTCGATAAAAATTGCCAAACTGGTGGCAAAAGCCGGTTTTCTCGATTTCACTATTTTGACAACTGCCTGATTTCACCACAATGCCTCACATATACCCAAAGACAGACCCAAGGCCATGTTGTGGCACATTTTGAATTACACTACACAAATCAGATACACAAAGTTGCATATTTCATAATAAGTGTTGTTGTTGTTGTTGTTGCCTCTTTCAGTTAAAGATAAAGAAAACTGAATTGAAAAATCTACATGAATGATGAAACTTTATGATTCTTTATTTTTCCAAGTGTCCCAAAACTATGCATCTTCAAGTGTTTTTGAATCTGTACTAATATGTTCTCATTATAATTACTAAATGAATTCCAAAAGTGATAATCAATCATATAATAAGAGCATTCAGCTATTACAGAGGTACATCTACAAAATGGGTGTATAAGTGGTCTTTTTAGGTATTTCAGCACGCATACCATATCCAATGATATTTACCGCATTCAGTTCCGATATTTTCTGCTGCCTTTCTCTTGCCAAAGTTCTTGTGTCAGCCAGTTCTTTCATCAAAGTTGACCTGTATTTGTAAAGGTGACAAGGTCAGCCACAGAATCATTGACATCAAAATGAACTATAGAAACAATAAAACATTATGCTTTAAAATCAGCCTTAAACTTATTTCAGTTTAATTTATGTAATCCTACAAGCTGAACGAGAGGCAAAGAAATGTTAAAAGTTCTAGAACATTTCCCCCATAATCCTTTGTTTATTGAAAATTAAGCCAAAAATTCACACCCTGAACGCAGATAGTACCAGATCTAAATTAAAATAACATTTGACTTTCCGCATTTAAAAAAACCTGAATATTGATTGGATTGTACTATTGAGAATTCATGAAAGAGTATGATTAGTGAGCATAGCCTAGATAAATGCAACAACGAAAAAAAACGTTTTAGACATCAGTCAACATACTTTTCATAATGTAAACAATGAGAGAATATGTTAAAAGTGACTAAGATTGACTAAGAGTGAATAAGGATAATACTTTTAACTGTCAAGACCACGCATATATTTTTTTAAAATTCAGTAATTTTTTAAACTACATTTTTTAGAAACTATCTTCCCTTCAGTCTAAACCTTCTTTTTTTTTCAAACTGAAAAGAACAACAACTAAAATTAGGATACTTACATTCTTGATTCATATTTCTTGTAATCATCTCCATGTTCATTCTTCAGTCTCGTTATTTCAGAATCAAATTTCCTTTGACTTGCAAATAACTGAAAGCAAGCCGAAGATGAATGCGAATAAACACCATGCCTTGACATTACAAAGTACCTGTGTAAGCATTTATGATCAACAAAGTCGCATTCATTCAATCTTTCACTTCCTCCCTCATCTCCTTATCCATCATCATCATCCAGAGCCAGATCTGCGACAGACATCGTCAATCATGGTTCTCCATTCATTCCTTTGCTCGGATGCTCTCAAAAAAGCTACGTTTCCCTGATCTTTCCCTGTTACCCATTTGTTTAGGTTGCATAAGTATGCCGTTCTGAGCCTACCCCTGACTTATTTGCCTTCAATTTTGCCAGTGAGAGCTAGATGTTCAAGACCCTTATGTCTATTCAGGTGTTCCAAAATCCATCCACACATAATAAAAGTACTAGTTTTTCTACAAAATAGAAAAAAAAATATTTTTACAAAAACTGAGGACAGTTGCTCAGTACTGTACAAGGCAATACATTTCTGATTTTAAACATAAAACTTAGGTGAATAAATTTCCATTTTGCAAGTTTCGATTGAAAGATTAACGATCACATACATTTATCGTATCTCTTATTCTTTTTTAATATTTGTATCTCTTACCCTGTCATATTTACATGGGGAATCAGGCGTTCGTCAATTTGGAGGCACATAGATTTATTAAAAACATCTCAAAGCTTGGTCATTTGTCTTGTATTTGAGGGAAAAACAAATGCCCATCTATCTTGAAAAGAAATCAAGATATTTGCATTTGAAGGAAGTCAGGGTCACCTGGTATGAGAGGTAAAAAAAGCTGGAAATTTACATTTTTTCTGTTTTTCGGCAACATCCACACAGAAATGCATTTTTAAAAGGACATAAAAGATGCTGAGCCGAAAAAAATGTACTTTAAAAAAAATTGCCCACCGCCCACAAAAAGGCCGATTTCTTTGATTTCATTGATTTGACAAGCACCTGATTTCACAACACTGCTTCCCACATTTTATCACTCAACCTTTTTATATTATAGTTTGTATCTCTTATGCTTTCTGTTTGTATCACTTACCCTTTCTTCCACCATCTCCCTGTCCCTCTGAGTGCCAAGTATCTGGTCTGTCTGTGAGAAAATAAAACACCAAATATTCATCAACATGGTCACATCACTGAAAACAGCTTTTGGTACACCATTTGATCTTATATCTTGCTGACGGTCTATCAGTCTACCATTATACAATCAATTTATGGTACTGTTTGAGGAGCAGGTAGTTAGGGGTTGGGCTACTGGACTCGTAATCAGGAGGCTGCGGGATCGGGGGTTCGAGCCTCAGGCCCGCTGTTGTGTCCTTGGAAAAGGCACTTTACATGAATTTTCCTCACTTCACTTAGGTGGAAATGGGTACCCGGCCATAGACAGCGAAAGATCTTGTCAGTATGTTAGCATTTTAGCACCTATAAATCAGCAGCTTGCACTGTATACTTCCCAGGAAATTGAGATTGTTTTAGAATGCTATCAGGTCTGCTGGGGTAATAGGATAGATTGTAAAGCGCATTGATCTTTCTGTTGAACCGGATCTAATGTGCACTAGAGAAATGCTATTTATTATTATCATTATTATTACTATAGCTGTGCTGATGAATCAGGTACCTCGGCCCTGTAGCATCAAAACCTGTGGAAGAAGCCAATCTCAGATTGAGAGAGCTATTGAAACTTTTTTTAATGCCATAAAAACTCAGTCGTCTTCAAACAAAGACTTTCAGATAATGAAGTGTGTCTTAAAAATAACACTTTGCAGTCACACAGCCAGCAGTACAAAATACCCCATCTGGTCACCCAGTCGGGACAATGACTGCAACGGACTTTCTGAGCCTGGCGCAACAGGTGACCGAAACGGATAATTTTCACCTGCGCATTATTGCACTAAATGACTGCAAAGTGTTAAAAGACATGGAGGAAGAAACAGAGAGAGAATCAATTTATACATAATGTTTGATACTTAGTGCATTATGGCAGCAAAGTAAAGGGTCTTTTAGTTTAGCAAGTCCATAGGTTAGTCAGAATCGTTATTAGTTTTCTTAATGAAAAAGGGGAGGTGAGGGAGGAGGGCTATGATTTATCAAATCCATTTCTTTTATCCCCCCTGCAGATGGGGGGCCCATAGTTTTACTATGGGGAAGACAAGAACAACACCTGTCCTGATACTGTGTGTCATAAGAGGAGATCAAAGGTGCATTGGACTGGTCTCCCGAAAAGTGCCAGTTTGCGGAGGGCCAACTACCCAACACTGTAAAAACTGAAAGTTACAGAAACATGAACAAACACGGTTATTTATTTTTTATCTTGGGAGGCAGAGGAGCTTCTGTATCAGCAGGAACAATGAATGACAGTGGAAATTGTTGGATTGGAATCTACAGGGTAAAAGATCAAGAGGAAGACCGCGTGAAACCTGGAGAAGAATCACAGAAATTGATATACTGAAAAAGTGGGAAGACATGGAATAACATAAAGAGGCTAGCCCAGAATAAAGAAAGGTGGAAAGCGTTTGTTCGTGGCCTATACCCTGATGCAGGGTGAGAAAGGAAGACGATGATTTCTTTGATGATGCGGGGCTGGTAATGCAAGTGATGGCATAGACTGAGAGGGGAGAGAGGGGAGAGAGAGGAGGTGGGGACAGGGAGGAGGGGAGGGGGGTTGATGTGTACTACTATAAATACAACTGTGCTAGCCAGGGAAAGGGGCATATATTTAAAATACCTTGATTTTGCCTGAAGAGTTCTGGTTGACAAGGGCTTTAACCCGAGCAATTTCAGCATTCGGATCATCCACCATACTAGGATCACCATTGGTGAGGACCATGACTTGTCTCATGAGAGCAGCTTTGTTGTTCACCAAGTTGAGCAATTCAATAGCCAGGTTTTCATTTCTATGGCACTGAAATAGGCAAGACAAAATAGGCCAAGCTGATAAAGGTACAACAGAAGTGTCTGTTAGTTCAGTTATGAGGTTCTCTGGCCATGCAATACAGAAATACTTGGTCTTGGCATGAACTACAGTTACCTTTGGACACAGAGTAGTAGAAAAAAGCTGACTAGTTTCTGTTCCCTAACAATATTTCTCTAAATGCATGCTAACCAGTACTCATCATTTGTTCACATGAGTGGGTTCAAAAACTTGCCCCAATGTTTTGGTATGGACACTAAATGACAACAACAAAAAAGAAAAAAAAATGCCTCCTAATAAAAAAACCAAAAAAAAGAAATCAAACTGTCATTTTGAAAAGCAATTGGTTATCCATGACAAACTTAAATGTAATTGGGAAAAATCAAACATCAAATGATGAATATTATTTGACTTAAAGCATAGTTCCATCTATTTCATATCACAAAAACCGAAGCAATAAAATATAGAAATCTACATTGTCATTCAACATATGGAACTGCACTGTTACTAAAACGCTCCAAAATTGGGAGCATAGAATACAAGTGACCACTGGCCTTACAAGGCATTTTCTGCGAGAAAAACAATACTAATTTCAACTACTCATTTACACCTATGTGCTGAGTGAACCAATACTTTATAACTTACCTCTTTTTTGTGCTCATTAGTCAAGGCAAGATAGTTTGTCTTGAGGACAACGTACTCATCAGCCAGATCTTTTCTGTCTGTCTCCATTTCATTGAGACGCTCCTTTGCCCCCTTTGCTGCCCGATTGTGTCTATCCCGCTCATTGTGAATCTCAACCAGCTGGTTCTCCAACAGAATTATCTGGAAAAATTAAACTAAAGTGTTAAAAAATACTACAATTAAGAGAGGATAATGAATTACAAAATTGAGAGTATGTGTCAAGTATACATAACACCATAAGAATATGCACGTAGATGTCTTGGACAGTGTCATTTTCATAATAGAACAAAACGTAAGGAGGATGTGAGAAGTATGAGTTATTTGTACAGGTAAATATCTGGGACAGGTGGCCATAAGAGCAGATTCAACTGTACTTACCTTATTTGTCAGCTCAAAATTTGTAGCCTCAGCTTCCTCTTTGATCTTGTTATTTTCAATCTGCATCTCCACCAAGGACTGGGATACCTAAGAGGGACAAAAATAAAAAGAATTTAATATTTCTGTCATTGTAAAGTTCTTCACTATCAAATGTAAACATGCAGTATTTACCTTAAAAAGTAGCTTTTTTGGCATATTGTCACCGTCATTCATCATAGTTGTATGTTAAAATAGAAAGTTTTCAGTAGAAGCAGAAAATTGTTTTATTTTGAGCAAAATAGTATGTTTATACAAAATGTTTAACTCCCTATCTCTGGCAAGCAGCTCCCAATGGCTCACGGTCAGAACCGCTGTGTTGGTCAACCGCTGGCAGCTCACAATGGCTCACAGTCAGAACCGGTGTGATGGTAAACACTGGCAGCGGCTCGGGCACATTCCTTTTCGACGACTGCAAGGTTAAATACTTTTTAGCCATTGCCGAAAACAGGTCTCTTCAATCGAGAGTTCATTCATTAATTGAAGAACAATCAAAAAAGGTTCACTTGTTTTGATTTAATGACCAATTTAGTGACCTATATGTTACTTTTATATTTTTTTACCAAAAGAAAGCCCTGGCATAGTGGGTGCCACTCAGAGATAAAGGTTAATTCATCGAAATCCATGACTATTTTATGAAGAGAAATGAGACAAGGCTAATAAATGCTCTAATCAACTCTACAATAAACTTGCTTTCAATTTATTTCTAAATTTCAACACAGACTACAATGTTGGATGACAGGCAACGATATGAAAACACGGCAATGGTGTCACACGGTGGAATCAGGTTCTAGTCAATTTTTGGGCATGTAGAGTTATTGGTATCATCTTAAAGCTTGTTCATTTGTCTTGCTTTGGATGAAAATAAAAATCCATTTATCTTGAATAGAAGTCGAGATATGTGCGAATGAAGGAAAATGAGAGTCACCTGGTTTCAGAGGTAAAATTAGAGAGAAAATGTCCGTCAAAGATGAGTTATTTCCTTAAATTGAGAGTCCCTGGAAACAGAAAATTTACATTTTTTGTGCCTTCAATCAACGTTCTTCAGTAAAATCCACACGGAAATGTGTTTGTTAATGGTCATGAAAGGTCTTGAGCCAAAAAACGAAAATTTGATAAAACCTCACAAACCTGCGGAGAAATGCCAGTTTCTTCACTTTAATGATTTTGACGAACGCCTGATTTCACTACACTGCTTCACAATTTAATTTTCCACTCACCTTGAGTTTTTCTTCCTCACTGAGCAGCAGCTGCTGAGACAAATCAGTCTTGTTGCTGGTGACCTGGCCAAACTTGTTGGTGAGCTGATCCACCTTGAGAGACAGTCGCTCATTCTGATCTATCAGCACCAGCTGGAACAGAACAACAACGTGAGAAAGAGACAACAGTTGCTCATTTTTGTTTTTGTTTTCGTAGAAGTTTTACGGTGCTCGCAACTGCATAAGGTCATCCAAATTGCTCATTTTGATCTATCAGAACAGTAACATGTGTGAAAGAGACAACAGTAGCACATTTTGATCTATCAGCACATGCGTTTTAGTTTAAGATTTTAGTAGAGGTTTTACGGCACTCGTAACTGCATAAGGTCATATGAGCACCAGAAGATTAGAAGTGTTACAAGAGAGTAACAAACATAAAAAAGAAAGAGGGGAGATAAGGACGACAGATATTTGATAGGAAAGAAGAAACAAACCACACCAGAGCACCTGCCAAACACCCATATTAACATGTGTGAAAGAGACAACAGTCGCCCATTTTGATCTATCAGCACCAGCTGAAGCAAACAATAACATGGGTAAAAGAGACAAAGACACTGCTTCAATACCCTAAAATTACAACAAAGTTCAATTTTCTCAGAACCTAGTTTTGAGAAATCTGACATTAGAAATTATCTAATCTTGTCTCGTCTTGTGTAGTCTTATCTTATCTTATCTAACCTTATCTTATCTTATGTGTGCGCACACAAACACTTGCACACTCACTCACATACGCACATGCACACACACACACACAAACACACACTCACACACACACACACTCACACTCATGTTCACACACAAATACACACACACACACTCATGCACACACATGCTGCATATACATAAACACAAACACAGATTGATCCACATACATAACTTTGACAATGACAATGACGATCTTTATTCATCCCACAGGGAGAAATTAGTCTTGTTCGTTTACAATGGCAGTGGAATATTACAAAGGTTAGGTGCACTTACGCATACAAGACATTAGATTTAAACGTGTTTTACGAGCTGAAACAACCCGCTCCGAAAAACATTCTCACTCTCTCTCTCTTTCTCTCTGTCTCTCTCTGTCTCTTTCTCTGTCTCTGTCTCTCTCTGTCTCTTTCTCTGTCTCTCTGTCTCTGTCTCTGTCTCTCTCTCTCTCTCTCTCTCTCTCTCTCTCTCTCTCTCTCTCTCTCTCTCACTCTCTCTCTCTCTCTCTCTCACTCTCTTCTCTTTGTTTCATTTGTAGCACTGTGTATTCAGTAACCTCACGGCAGTTGGTACGAAAGAATTTCTATATCTGTTTGTTCTTGCTTTTTGGGAAATATATTCAGCTAACACAGACAACTTCAGTTCAGTCCAGTTGGAAGAACATCTCCCAAGATGACACAGAATCCATCATTTCCGAGTTTTAATTTTAAAAAGAGGTTTCCACAAGGATGCAACTACTCACATTTTCAGTCTGAAGCCGTCTAATCTCGGACTCAGAATCATCAACAGCAGGGATTGTAGTCGTTATGGTTTGTCCAACACCGGCTTGTGCTTTGAGATCCATGTTTCGAGCACGAGTTTGAGTAAGAAGAGCCTAAGAGATGAAAGAGGGGGGAAAGATCGAAAATTATCCCAAATGCGCTGAAAAAAATTATTATGATTTTTTGACTGTCATAGAAAAAGATTGTTATCACACCTGTGAGATAGATAGATTATAGATAAGTGCACCCCCAGCCTCGCCCCAAAAATCATGACTTAAAGCTTTAAACCCCATCGGATGCGTTCGGCGGTAATAACCTTGTTCCCAATCGGACGCTGGGATATTGGTGACAACTGTTTTGTTTAATTTATTGCTAATTTTAGCTTGTTTTACAGAATTATGCCCGAACCAAGTTTTTTTAGTAACGACTAAGCCTTTGTTTCCGCCATTTAGAAGTTGGGGGCAAGCTTTTGGGTTTATAATGAGACATAGTGCACCAGGTTTAGGTGACTGTAGAAAAAACTCCGGGAAATGGTGAAAAAAACTCAGGATTTAAAGATTTTAACAATCCAAATAGTCTATCTTTTCCAGAATTCATCTGCAAAATTTGATTTTTAACAAGGCCAACTTCCATTTTTGCATAAGTACTCTTTATGCTAATAGTCCTTTGACACAATCAGTCAATGCATTCTTTGTTTTCAGATCATAATATCTTTCTGGAGTTGTGGAAAGAAAGGCAAAATGAGGATAGTCTACAGTTAAAGAAAATGTTAATGGTATAAATATAAATGAGATGGCTATGCATATGAAGTTATTGTGTAGGCCTACATTACCTGCATAGCCAAATCAAGTCACAGGTTAATTTTACATCTAGACTCCAAAAAAAACTACGTCTGGAAAGAGTTAAAATCACAAACTTGACCTAATTAGCTTAATTTTATGCTCAGATGTTATTATTTTTAAAAACCCACAGAATTCAAAATTCTGAGTGGCTTGTCGCCCGATCTGGGGTGTCTAGCGTTTTGCTACTCAAACGAATTCGGTCGATTAGCCTGACACTACTGGCCCGTGGGGATTTCTGCGTACGCTCCCTTAAATCATGTGATCAATCACGCAAGATCAGTCACTCAGTCACTCCTTGTCCTCCATGTCAAGAGTCGGATTGGTACGACTTCCCCCATCTACCTAATTTTTCTCCCAGCTTATCAGTGGCATTCACTGGATTTATTGACACCAAATATGATTGGATATCCATTCTCTTTCTCCCTGAATACATCTTCAAAGAGAACAGTGCCTCAGAAAGACAGACTTTTAGGAAAAGCTCTTTATAGATCTAAAATATAGAAGACCTGCCACTCTATGCGTGTGTGCGTGTGTGCGTGCGAATTATCATTA